TTGACTGTAGTCCGGTATAGTTAAAGTAGACGAGCGACCTTCTTCCACACTCTAAACCCTCTCCCCGTTTGAACCGGTAACAAGACAGAGCCGAGATGACCGAGCAGAATTCATACGTAAGCCGCTTTCTCCAATGCAGGCCAAACACTGTCTAAATTTGTCTTGAGTGACAGTAGCTTTTTGCGCTGGTACTACTGCGCTACCTACTATCAGTCATTTTCAGCAGGTGTCCAGAAAGACTCAATGAGACCGAGTCTGATATTGCTGCTACTACTGCTGCTATTAATATTTATACTGCTACTTACTAGCAGTGTAGGGGAGTGCTAGTAGTGCTGGTACTATTACTGACGCTAATAATTGGTCAGAAATGACACTGGTCACAATTAGTGCTGGGCTCGCGTTCCCTCGATCTCAACTATGAGTTGGGACCGGGATTTATGCTATTCCGAGTATGGTAGATGTTTGAGGCTCAGGACACATCAGTAGGTGTTAAGGGAGATTCAAGGAAGCTGAGGCTGGTACTACAAATGCTATTTCTACTAGTATTAATTAGGAGTGTTAGTAATACGGACACTATTTCTGACGTTAATACTTGTCAGAGATGACGCTGATTAAATGCAACGCTGGGATTAATATTCCCTCGATCTCAACGAGGGTAAATCTCAGTTTAAGGTACTTTGAGTAAATACGTACTTAATGTTCGGAGCACATCAGGGCTTGCCTTGGTTTCCGTCCTCTCACTTCTGTCTAACAAAAGCTGTCACATTTCACCAAGTTTGGGCTAGGACACTGTTCCTTAAGGTTACATGCCATTGCTTAGAGTGCCAAATCTTAGTAATCATGCTTACTAAGACCAGCAAAGAGTATATTATTGTATTATATTCCTATAATTCGGTATACGATTGCCTACTACTGTATACTCCCGATCTAAAACCGAAAAGACATAGAACTCGTAGCCCAATGGTTAGGGCGTTTGCCTCTGACCGGAGAGATCGCGGGTTCAAAACTCGAGTGTGGCAGCAATTTCAGCGGCAGCACTGGAGTTGGCTTTCACTAGCTAACGACGACTAATGAGCCAGAAATGACCATTCTTTTGTCTCCTGTACTTGTCGGAAATACTATAACATAAATTCCTATGAATAGCTGGCATGCATCGCGCGTCCTAAGTTTACAGTAGCAGTCAGAGTAGTAAGACCCTCGCGAACGACGAAGCTCACCTCAGCCCCATCAAGTGGACGCAGACGCGGCGATTTAGGCGTGAGTATGTTAACAGCGAAGCCAATTTCCATAGCATATGTGTCACTCTCTCTCCCTTTCCCATACCCCTGGGCTCTGAATAGCGCA